TAAACGCACTCAGAGCGGAACCTTTTTGATTTACGCCCAGTGTTAAAATGGGTCACGCTAAGAAATAAATTTTTTGCTGATTTATAAAAAGTATCTGAAATTTCCGCAGCGCCGCAGTGTTCAATTTTAGGAAAAAAAGCACAAGAACAGCGAAATATGTATATTTTCAAAACTTTTTAAAAAGTACACTGGGGGCTAATTTCAGGCAAAAAAAANAAAGTATCTGAAATTTCCGCAGCGCCGCAGTGTTCAATTTTAGGAAAAAAGCACAAGAACAGCGAAATATGTATGTTTTCAAAACTTTTTAAAAAGTACACTGGGGGCTGATTTCAGGCAAAAAAATAATTAAAACCTTCTATATTTGAAGGTCAAGGCAATTTTCGGATTCTCCATCTCAAAAACTGTAAATCACCGTTACATTTATTTCGCTATCTCTTCTCGTTTTAGAGACATTTGACTTTGTCTCCTTTTCTCAAAAATAGAACACTGTGCGCCGCCCGCGTCATATACGGTTTAACGTTATGCTATCAAATGTTACAGCAGCACCTCCATCTGTTAGCTCTTTTCGGTTGATATCTATGAATATTAAAAAGTTTTAATTAACTTATTTTTTAAATTTATTGTTACTTTTTTCAAAATTAGTTTGGAAATAAAGCATAACTAAACGTCTCTCGTTTGACAACAGTATTAAGATATTCAATTTAACTTGTTACTTAAATTATTTCAAAAATATTACTTAAAAAATATGTTCCCAATTAAGCTTCCTTAAACTACCCTCGTTTGATATTCACACTAAATATTTCGCTTAACTTATTAATTAAATTGATTTTTAAGATTTAAACAGGTGGAAACCCTCTTCAAAAATATTTTTGAAATAAAGCTTTTCCAATAGTTGATTAAATTCGGGGTTAATAGGAATTGCATAAAAGAGGCAGCAACACTTCCGTTTTAAGTTTGAGTTGTTGTGGTTAAATATGGTTACAGGGTTGGGAGGCCTTTCTATATGAACAATCGGCAGACCAGTATAGACCTAACAAATATTTATTAGGTATACGCATCGAACTTCAAATATGTTCAGTATTTCGAATTTTTCTCATCCCATTCCCTCAGATTGTCGATGCTGGTTACTACGTAGACACGCTATATAAATGGTCCGCAATGAACACCGAAGAAATTGGAGAAAGTATTGGTAAAGGTCTGAAGCATTTGATAAAAGTTGTACCGCTGCAAAATATACACCTAATCGGTGAGTAAGAAAGTTAGAAAGGTACTTAGTATTTCATAAAAGTTAATTACTCATTCCTATCCCCTTTCAAACATCAAGGCCACAGTTTGGGCGCACACATCATGGGCACTGCCGGGCGTACATTCACCAAATTGACTGGTAAAAAAATACCACGCATTACCGGTTTAGATGCAGCCAAACCATGCTTTCGCTCAGACGACAAACTCACCGGCTTACATCGGGGTGATGCCGAATTTGTGGACGTCATTCATACAAATATTGGAGTATTGGCGAAGAAGGAGCCTATTGGCGATATCGACTTCTATCCTGGTGGTGCAAATCCGCTACCACCTGGCTGCTTGACTATATCATGCGCTCATTCACGCGCAGTCGAATATTTTGCCGAGAGCGTATATCCAGGCAATGCTAAAAATTTCATCGGTTGGAGATGTTCGGATTTTCAGGCACTGGAGAAGGTGAAATGTAATCGGAAAATTACCTCACCTATGGGCATCGCGGTTGATCAGCAACAAAGGGGTATATTTTATGTGGCAGTGAACTCAAACTCGCCATTCGGCAAAACGGCGAAACCGAGCAGCGAACGATGGCAAAATGCACGATGTCATAAGTGTGAAAAATCAAAGCAAATAAAAAAACAACGAGCGGGTTTTCGGAAATTGGGAAAACGGAGGCGAAGGGATAATGGCCGGAAATGCATTAAGTGCAGGAAAGTAAACAAGGCGAGGAAACCGAAAAGGGGAAAGCAGGCGAAATATGCGAAGCTGGGGAAAAAAGCTAAACAGCCAAGAGCGGCGAAACAAGCAAAGGCAGTTGAAAGGGCACGATCAAGAAAAAGAAACATTCGACCAAAACAGCCAAACAAAGCTAAAAACTTAAAACATCAATGAAGGCTTAATTTATTTATTATTTTTGCATAGGTTAGTCAAATATTCATTTCGAGTAGGT